GATAATCTCGGTGAGCATCACCTTCTTGTCCTCCTGACACAGAACTATCCAGTTCTGTAGCAAACCAGTAATCCTGAAAAGAAGCATTTCCATGCTCCTCCAGCCAATTCTCTGAAAACACAAATCATTTCTAAGTTTCCAAATTGACCATAAGACTACAGATGTAACCATATTCCAAATACTATGATTTTTGTTGCTAAGCCAGAACTTCCCTACTTCTACCATGTTACCTCCTAAATTAAAACCTACTGCTTCAGAGACAACAACCCAGCATTGTCTGGCTACAGCACAATCAAAGAAAAGATGGTTAGACGATTCTTTTTCAGAACAAAACAGACAACTATCATACTCTACTTTTCTCCTTTTGGCTAAGTTATCCCTCGTTAACACTCTATTGTTTATTAACAGCCAAAGGAAGAAATGGACCCTGGGAGGAATCTTCAGCTTCCACACAGCTGACACATGAACAGTTCTGATGCCTCTAAAATTAATGATTTTGTATAGTGACTGAGAGGAGTAAACCCCAGAGGATGTGAATTGCCAAATCATTTCATCCTGCTCCTCTGTTAACTGGACAGCAGAAATGAGTTCTACCACTTCTAACCAAGTTTGAAATAAGTCTTCAGAAACTGTTCTTCTAAAAGTACATTTCAGATTGACTCCGTCCCAGAGTTCATCTATTGTTTTGCCTTTTTGATTAACTATCCTATATAAAGGCCAAAACTGAATTGATAAACTTGAGGAGCCTAGCCAGTTATCCTCCCAAAATCTGATTTTCTTGCCATTACCTACTCTCCACTTATACCCCATCCTTGCAGCTTGGGCTGCCCACATAAAACCTTTAAAGAAACTAGATCCTCCACTAGGATTAGATAAGAAAATATTAGGGTTGTGAGTGTCATATTTAAAATCGATAAGCTCTTTCCAGAGCTTGTCTTTGTCAGACTTATACCTTTTAAGCCACGAAGCTAAAAGACTAATATTAAGATCTCTCAGGTTGGGAATGCCTAATCCACCAAACTCCTTAAACATAGACACCATTACCTCTTAAAATATTTTTGGCAGAAGATGTGGACACATGGTGTCTGAACAATAAAAAAGATTAGTTTAATATATGGTAGGAAAGAAATGTTTAATGGAGAATGATAGACAATGTTATAGGGATATTATGACTACCCGAATTAGTATACACCAAACAAGTATTAAACAAGTATATGTGTTGTACGCATCTTGTCTTACAAGACAATGTGTACAACGGACACATATACATGCCTAACAGAAAGAACACACACATAAATGAACCGAAGTAAAGCATAACTTCATATATGGATAAAAATATGGCAACAATATATTCAGAACACGTCATTGCAACAAAAAGAGAAACAAAAGGTATTGTCTAACTAAATATATTGCTCATGAAAAGAAACATATCGCATAGCCCATATAGGGTAACCATTCAAGCAACTATGTCACAAAGTCTCATTCATCGTCCCAAATATTTGATCGAAGCCTTGATTCTTGTTTGTTTGCCTGTTTCTAGTGTTGCATTAGTATATATTATTTTACCCACATTTCAATAAGGTAAAGCATACCTGTGACTAGAAAGAAGAAAATGACATAAGATTGGTAAGTGGTCAAATTATTAAACATTCTGGTATAAAGAAACTAGTCCCCATGGTCTTCGTCATCTTCATACCCCTTTTATTGCTACTGACCGAGCAACCAATCTTATTTGTCAAGGAATGCCGGCTATGTGATGAAAATGAGCACCCTATTGAGTACATCCAATCTAGTCTTCCCAAGTTTCTCCAAATAGGACACCGATGTTTTTTAGTAATGTTCTGTAGGGATTGGGCCAAATGATCTTGCGAAATTATCATGATGATCTGTCGCTTGAAGCATTATAGCCTTGGTAGCCTGCTTAGCATTTCCAATTGTATACTCCTTGTTTGGCCTATCATGATTCCATATATAATCATAAGGGACTGCTGAGCTAGCTGAATTAGCTTTCTTTGACATCCTAGCCATACCAATAGCTTCAACCACTACGCCACATAGGGTTTGTAGGGGCGGTTTTAGAGGGTTTGTAGGGGCGGTTTGGACAGCCGCCCCTACCAAACCGTTGCTACAAATCGATGATTTGTTGGGGCGGTTGATTATTTGTAGGGACGGCTCTATTATAAATCGGTTTCCAGAAATTACAAAGAACTTTTTTAACACCGGTTTGCTAGCCGCCCCTACAAATCCATTTCCAGAAGTCGTGCCATTTTTCGTGCAAAAACGCGAGCTTCGCAGCCGCTGGGGATCGAAACGACGACCTCCCCTCGTGTGGTACTCCTCTAACCACTGCACATCACACTCACTTATGATTATATTAGATATTCTTTCTTCTCATATTATGCTCAACCGAATTTAAATTGAGTGTTTGGGACCCTAAATGATTTCAAATGAAAAGGTTTTCAACTACAAAGTTGTATTACTTTTCGAGATCTACAACTTTCGTTTTTGTTGTTTGTCCATCCAAGGTCATTTAAAAAATTAGAATTTCAAATGTGAGAAAATCAAACACAGTTTTCTTTGACAAGATGATTTCAAATCATAAAATTATCAGCTACAAAGTTGTATAACTTTCATTTAGGTTGTTTCTCCATTCGAGGATGTTTGAAAAATTCAAATTTTAAATTTAAAAAGTTCAAAAGTAGTTATCCTTAGCTAGAGGATTTTAAATGAAAAGTTGTCAACTACAAAGTTGTATAACTTTTGAAGAACTACAACTTTTGTTTAAGTCGTTTCTCCATCCGAGATCGTTTAAAATTTTAATTTTCAAATTTGAGAAATTCAAACGTAATTTTCCTCGACAATGTTTTCAAATGAAAAAATTGTCAACTACAGAGTTGTATAACTTTTCGAGATCTACAGCTTTTGTTTAGGTCATTTCTCCAACCGAGAATGTTCGAAAAATTTAAATTTCAGTATATAATTTTTACTATAGTGCCATTTGTAGGGCAGCTAATAGCACCAGCAGCCCCAACAAATAGATTTGTAGAGGCAGCTCGTTTGGGAACCATTTGTAGCGGTGGCTGAATATAGAGCCGCCCTTAAAAAAAAGAAGACATTGCTAATACAAATCCTTTTTGTAGCTGTGAACTAGTGTTAGAGTTAATTCTTGAATGTTGTGCCATTTTGGACGCGAAATGTGCATGACATTTCCCACATGTTCTTTTTCACCATGTATTCACCTCTTGAAGCACTTTAGGTAGGAATTAAGGCCACATGGTCTATGCGTAATATGCAAGGTTCATTTCTTCAAAACATGGTAGGAATCAAATGTTTCATGGGTAATGATAAACAACGATACAACCATACACGGATATTTTTTTTGACGCAAAAGACTGTGGGGGAGATCCCCACAGTGGTTTTAATATATATTAAAAAAAAGGCTAACAGAGTTACAAACCTGAGTTAACTAAAAGCATAAGCCAAAAGCAAAAAGATGACCTAAGATCATCCCTAAATCTAACAGATTGAGACAAACATTGATGTTTAAAATTTGCTAGCCAAATACTATGCGTGGGATCCCGGCGTTGGAAGATCTTGTTGTTGCGCAATTTCCAAAGCTCCCAATCCGCTATAATAGACGCTTCCGTGAAGAATTCCAAGCCGTGTACGTCACGCGCCCTTATAAATCTTTCTGGCAGAGGCAAAGGCGTTCCTAGCTGAAGTTTATCGAAGCCCAGCACTATACCACAAAGGGGCACTCAAAGAACAGGTGATCAATGTCCTCCTCAATCCCGGCAGAACACATGACACAGAGAGTGTCATCTTGAACATTTAGGTTCCTTCTTCGTAGCATTGTCTTGGTGTTGAGACGATCCACTAGTATCAGCCATGCAAAGAATTTGACACGGGGGGTGCAGTGAGACTTCCAAAGCACTTTGTAATATGGATGAGTTTCAACCCAACTGAAGGCATATGAATAGAACCGGTGAGAAGAATATTTATCGCCCCAGATCATGGTCCACGCATCTACCGTGGTGTCATCATACTGTAACTGAACCAAGCGGTCCTGAAGGTGCAGCAGCTCATCATGGGCCTGTGTAGACAGGGGGGCATAAAAACTTCACTTAGATCCTCTTCTAGCATCATACCATGGACTGAGATGGTTTTGTTTTTGGCGAATAGCCTAGGGTATTGGACAGCAAGCACTGAATCCAGCCATAGATCCTCCCAGAAAGTGATTGGGGAGCCATCTCCTAGAGTGCACCTAGCAATCCTTCGATAGATGCCATTGAGTCTCATCACATCGCGCCACCAGAAGGAGCCGAGCTCTCTGCAAGTGTGTGGGCTTTGTCCGTGTAATAGGCATCCCAAACCAATCTTACCCAAGGCACATCCTCTTTGTTGTAGAATTTGTGGAGTTGCTTGAGTAACAGCGCATCATTTTGCAATCTCAAGTTAATCACTCCCAACCCTAAACTCTAAACCCTAAACCCTAAACCCTAAACCATACACGGATATTATGGCTAATCAAATATTATTACTAGCTGGCGCCCTCGTTGGAAGATACACCACTGGGTCCTTTCGCTGATCGGTGCATCTCAATGTATTGGTATGCTTCTTTCTTCATTCCTATAATTTTTTTTGTGACCAAATTTTTCCGAAAATGTATGTCTACATTTTATAATCTTTAAATAATATTGCAATAACATCTTTAGAAGCCTCTGATTGAAGACTGAATCAGAAAACAAGTGTACAAAATTTGAAATTTATGTTCATGGAACTGTTTATCATTTTTTTCTTCAATTTATATCTCAAATAATTATATCCTTGAGCTCTATAAAATATTTTGAATAGTTTGAGTTTAATGACAAATAATTTTCCACTAAAATATACAGTTATCATGTTTATGATCTCATGGACTTTTACCGTGGTCTCCCTTAACCTCTCAAGCCTTATCTACTACTACGTCAGCTTAAAAGGAAAGGCTGGTGACTGGGGAGATGGATTTAAAACTGCATACTTTCAACTGGCTCTGCGAAGCCTCCGATCACCGGGAGGTAGAATATTTTTACATGGAAAAAAAAACATTATTTAGCTGAGCTACAAGTGCACTAGTACACAGAACATTAGTACTAGCAATTCTAAACGTATTTTTACTGGTGTTTGTATCAACCACTAGTGCCTAAAGGCTAATGAAAATCACGAACTTCACAAGTGTCTTCTAGAGAACCGCCACTACAATTGATTTACAATTGCTATTTTCTTAAAAAAACCGCCACTATAAATGATTTTCAAAAATTGCAAATTAGCCTAAAAATAACATTTTTTTTATTTGAGGAGGCTCGCGCACAAGGCATCCATACACGGTTCTGATTGTTTTCATTCATTTCGCAAGAAATCAATGCATGTGCGACACCAGGACTCGAACTCAGCACCCTCAACTTCGTACGTTACACGCCCTTACCACTGCACCCCAAAGTCACTTGTGACTAAAGAGCAGAAATATATTCCATTAGTATTCACTATCGTAGATTTTAAAATTGAGATTTGAAGTCCTAAATGGATTCAAATGAAAAAAGTTTCAACTACAAACTTTTAAATCTCGTCGAGATCTACAACTTTCCTTTTTATCGTTTTCTCATCGGAGGCCATTTGAGAAATTCAAAAAAATATAAATTTTAAAATTATTAATCTTAAAACAAATTTTCTGCTTCCTAAATGATTTTTAAATGAAAAAGTTGTCAAATACAAAGTTGTATGGGACCATTGACCTATATACTGGATGGATTGTGAGGGATGGAGGACTAATGCTTCTGCTGTCTCAGCTCCTACTCGCCAGAGATGGTTTTGAAAGCTGTAAGATTCAGGTATTCTGCATAGCAGAAGAGGGCACAGAAGCCGAGGAGCTAAAGGCTGATGTGAAAAAGTATCTGTATGATCTGCGGATGCAAGCTGAGGTTATTGTTGCGACCATGATGTCAATGGAAGCGCATTCTGAGATCAGCACTAATGCTAAGAAGAATACGCAAGCGCTCAGGATAGAATCAGAGCATACCTTTCTCTGATAAAGGAGACTGCACAAAGAGAAGGGCGGCCACTGATGGAGGATGGCAGGCAAATCGTGGTCAATGAAGAGAAGGTTGAGAAGTTCCTCTATATGATGCTAAAGCTGAATACAACTATCGTCAAGTACTCCATCTGATGGCAGGCGTGGTGCTGGTGAGCGTCCCACCACCTCCTCTGAAATATATGGATATGCTTGTCGTGAACGTACCACGTATGCTGATGGTTAGGGGATAAAGAGATGTTGTCACACTTTTCACATGATTGGATTTGATACACATTTATAAGCTAGCTAGTTCCTTTTGGAGGTTATATATACGGTTTGTGTGACGGTGGTTGCTCTCATGCTTAGCTAGCTGCATGGATTTTACTGTTGAGTTTATAATTTTGTAGATGAATACTTGCATAGGATTTAGTTACATTCTTTAGACTGAAGACATTTGCACGGATAGAAAATACATAGTCTAGAGATTATTTTTTATATAAGCTCCAATGATGTGTCTATTGTTTTATTTTGTATTCCACCTTCGGTAAAATATAAAAATAGATTTTCTTTCTTATATTATTGAGAGAAAGCATGTAACTATTGATGTACATATTTGGAACTATTTGTTACTATTTGAGTTATGTAATCATATAAATAAATATTGAGAAGTTCTAGATTGAAGACCCATTTTTCATTCTCCTCGTAATATGAAGGCTGGGTCATTGTTTTAATTAACATTGAAGTTATGTAACTATTGATATTTGGAACTACTTGTTATTACAATTGCTTTCTTGTAATTGAAGTTCATTGTCGCAATCCATTGTTTCTCAATGGCTGGGCAGCATCAGCATTGCTGTGCATGTTGAATCCCAGAAGGCTAGTGGCGAAGTGTGCTAGCTTACTGCATTCCTAGGCCAGTTAGTAGTTAACTTGCTTGGCTTTCGCGTAGCAGCAACCAATATGGATCGATTTTTTTTCCAATTAGTCATAGAGATTTAAATACAAATTAATTAGTCATAGAGACAATAGAAAGCCTGAGTGGCTAGAGTTTTTTAAAGAAAATTAAATAATTAAAGTGCACCATTTTTTGACCAAGTAAAAGTGTAAAACTAGACATTACCTATATATAAAATATAGCATACAAGAGGCATAACTTGTGTTGATCTAGGTGCACGATTAGAAGCGGAACGAAACAACGAAATCGGCCTAACAAGGAAAATGCGATCCAGATGTTGCCAACGCGTGAGCATGCGATCGATGCGTGATTGGAACCAGCATCCTACGTTGTCTTCCTCATGCCAACTGTACAAGTTAGTGTTTCGGGGAGGCGGTGGGGAACCTCTAGTGTTCTCTGGGCTTAGAAGGAGGAGTATGGGGTGGTGGCTGGATCCAGGGGCGGATTCATGGAGTACGTCTTCAATTTTTAGTATTTAGTGATTGTCAGAGTGGGACCCACAGGATACCCCGCAAGGAGGAGAGAAGATCTAGTCTAACTAGGATTCTCCCCATATAATCTTAGTAATACTATTATCCTATAATCCTACTAAGAACTCTCATTGTAAACCGACTAGGATTCTGACCTCCTGACTATATAAAGGAGGGCAGGATTCCTAGAGACGGGGGAACACAACTTCTACAACACAACAACACACAATCAATATAACGCAAAGGCTAATGCCGACTGGACGTAGAGCTATTACTCGATCAACGATCGAGGGCCCGAATCAGGATAAATCGACTGTTTCTTGCGTTAACCGTCGAGTTCCGCATACGCTGAAGCCCGAACATACTGTCCCGGGTAACCCCGTGACAGGCTATCGGTGGTAAAACATCGACAACTTCTTCTCGGTTTCCGACGAAAAAAAGAAGCCGGTATGGTCTCGAGAGAAGGACTGAACAAGAAGAAAGAAAGAAAAAAGGCATAAGAACAGGAGAAAAATGAACATCCAAAGAAAGAACTTCGGAAAACTTACTTGGAGTTTTTCCCCAAAAGAAGTTGCAAAGGTTGCAAAATCTCCCCAAGAAGCGGTCAACTCTGACAGCCGATGAGTGGCGTCAAATTGATGCACCACATCTTCAATAGAGAAAGGAGCGGAGGGGGAAGAAGACCGATGCGGAGAAGATGAGAGCAGGGGCACACCATGGGAAGTCCCAGCTACCTCCCTAGATGAATCCACCACCATGGCCACGGTCACCTCCGAGGCAACCAAGCCAGCAGCAGCATCATCACCAGGAAACCTTGTCTCCCACACAACCACTTCGCCGACCGTGCGCTCCAAGTCCTGAGGCTCGGTACTCGGAGGCACACCAGAAGAATGGCAAGAAGTCGACGGAGGGTCGAAAGAAGACGAAGGCCTGAAAGTTGACAAAGAAACTCGACAATAAGAACAAAAGAAAGGGGAAACAGAAGCAAAGAGATGAAACCAGAAGTCACTCACCCGACTATCTTCTTCTTCGTAAAACACAAAGAAGATCTCGCAGGGGGAACGACGATAGCAAAAACATCACCGCCACCCTGTGACAGGAGCGGCACGGCTGGTACCGGAGCCCCAGAGGAACCTGGAACCAGAACCCCAGAGGAACTTGGTGCCGGAGCCCCAGAGGAACTCGAGCCCAATGACCGCTTGCTACAAAAAGACAAGATGAAGTCAAAACAAGAAAAGGCGCTCAACAAAACAAAGAAAAGTAAACAACTCACCAGCGCGTAATGAGGGGCACATCATCGACCTCATCTTCCTCAGTCTCCAGCAAGACAGCTACAGCGCCATCTGAAAATAGAGAAAAAAAGAACTCGGTCAGCGGCACAAATAAATAATAGAAAAACCGAACATATTAATATTCTCACCTAGGAGCACGCTACCTATAACTGGAGTACCTGGATGAGTACTCGGCAGGCGAGACTTCTTGGAAGCAGGTAAATCAGATGAAGAACCATCCGCCCGCCCCCTCTTCGGGACACTACGAGGACCTCGAGGGACTGGACGAGGAACATATTCTTCATATACATCAACAAATCCAGAGGAAACTCCAGGAAACACTGTGGTGATTTGGAACTTACTGGTTACAGAAGACCCAGTAAGTTTCTCCCCAGTACTCACCACGGCAGGGAGGACATCTAGGGGGATCGGGTCAACAAAATTACGCCCCAATTCCTACGAAAAGAATAAAACAACAAGACAAGGAAAATTAAGCAAAAACGGATACAACAAAAGAAATACAGAAAATACCCGCACGATGGAAAAAACGACTCACAGCTGGAGGCGGGTTGTTGGCGGAGTACTCGCAGACAGTAAGCGGGACAACGCTTGCTCCTTTCAGCATCTTCTGGAGACGCTCAAGTACCTCCTCGTCGGTCAGCTCATGGGCCGGACCATGTGGGAAGGGTCCTCAGCCCCATAATACTCGAAGCCAAGGTTCTCTCGCTTCTTCAGAGGCTAAACATGGCTACGAAGAAAGCTCGAGACAATACCGAAGCCGGTCAAGCCCTGCTGCTTTAGAGTGCGTATCCGCTCAAGGAATGGCTGGATCACCTGGAGCTCGATTGGTGTCAGGGAGTTCTTTTCCCACCGGTTATTAACCGAGGGGCCAGACCCAGAATGTATGGAAAGAGAAGGAATCAAATTGGCGGCATAAAACCAATCAGCACGCCAATCCCTCACAGAATCAACCAGGTCATAGTCAAAGAACTTGCTTTTAAGACCCTAGAGAAACTAGATCCCACAGCCACCAAGAACATTGGTTTCTTCACGGCGGGGTTGAGGTTTCAAACGAAAGAAGTGGCGGAAAAGAGAAAGAGAAGGAGGAATTCCAAGGAAGGCTTCATAGAGATGAACGAAAACGGAAAGATGGAGGACGACATTAGGGATTAGATGGTTCAGATTAACCCCAAAATAACTAAGAAATTGATGAAGGAAGGCGGAAGCAGGAAGGCAAAGACCGGCGCGGATAAAGGAAACGAAAAGGACAATCTCACTAGGACCTGGAGCAGGAACCTGGTGCTCGCCCGGAACTCTGCATTCAGCAATGTCTTTACTTTGGATCAAGCCGTCGCTGACGAGCTCGCGGAGCTGGTCTTCGGTTGTTGTTGGAGCCGGCCAAACCTTCTGAGCAGCCCTCATGGCCACGAACTCTTGGTTCTCGATCAAAGAAAGGGTTGACTCCTCGTCCACGAAGGCTGCCTGGGACTTGCTCGTGGTTTTCTTCTTACCCATGAACTAGCGGAAGCAAAAAGGCACTGGGGAAGACGAAGCTAGGATGGCAACGCTCAGGTGACGGCGACAATGGCGGCGACAGATTTCTGAAAGCTAGGGTTTCAAGCCAAGAGCTGGGCAGTAAAGAAAAGGAAGATAAAAGGTCTTTCAATAGATTTTTCAGTGATAAAAACGGCCCACCAGGCCCGTTAAAACACGGTGTGGGAATGCAACGGTCCGTTTACTGAAACAGCTAAAATAACGGACGGCACAAATCCACACAACGGTACAGTTTAACGGGCAGATTTCAGATTTATCCATCCAGCACCACTACAGGGTTATCAGATCACTACAAGAACAACCTGTCAACCATGATGAAACAAAGGGCTACCTCGCAAGGAACAAAAGAACCCAGTTATTAAAGAAAGAACTCGGGAGTCTCATGAATAACCAGGATTACAGCAGAAAAATGAATGACAACTCTGAAGACAAGATTCTTTCCATTACAAATGGCTTCAAAAATAGAAGATTACACATCTTACAAGACCCAATGAACTCGGCACTATGACAAGCAAGGTAGCAAAAAGGAGCTCGGACACAACTAGGCTCTGGAACGACTACGTGCTCCAAATTGCTACTCGGTAGAACAAACCGCGCTCGGCTACACTGTTTTCTTCAAAGGACGGACGTAGTGCATCTAAGGCGGAAATTAGCAGCACGGCGGGACAACATAGACCAGGGGAAGTCGGTAGGCATTTGTCTACCCAAGCCTGACGTGATGCAGGATTAGGTGTTGATCTGCACCGGACAGTCTCAAGACAGACGGCGAGGATCAACCCAGAACTGCAGGATGAAGGAACGAAGCCCACATCACAAGACTTCCTCCAACTACCACCACGTACTTCCAAGTACAATGCCGCTGTGGGATTAGTCTACCTCTAATCCCTATCACAAGACTTCTTC